CACTTCACGTTCACGTTGTGGAGTGATAACCTATTACTAAAATTTCTAACACTGGCTATACCTTAGGAGTTACATCAAAATAGACTACAAACTAGAAAATTGTAGGTCTTAAAAAGGCCTGCAAAATCTACAATAGCATAAGTTTTTCTCCTAAGGTGCACTTGAAAATTGGACATACATACATACATATTTAAATTTAAAGTATATTTATTTACGTATCTTTTATTTTTATTTTAAAATATAGAAATATAATTTGCCCACAGCTCCGGGCTGGTGGCGTGTTGATAAAAAATAGCCTGTGTAATCCAGATTGTAAGCTCTTTCCATTTTTACTTTCGCTTAAAACGGTTGTGTGAAGAATTAATAAATTTACACTCTCTCACTCAGTAACAAATATTGAAAATAAGTTTATTAAAATTCGCGAATAAATCCGAAAAGGTAGTTTTATTTAAAATGTCAAATATTCGCGTAAATCTAAGAAAGTATTAAATATTTTCAATATTATCTTAATGTGATTATAGTATAATTTTTGTACTTTTTGATGAGTTTAGGATCTATATAGATGGAAACATTTTGGTGGCTATTTTTAAAATGATTTATAATACACTATTTAATATGTTTATGTTTTTCATATAATTATTGTCATATAAATTACTTTTAACACAAGCCTTATATCAGGATTCTTAAAATAATTTGTAAAATATTTTAATATGGAAGTTTGAAACGGTAAGCTAGTTTTACTCATGAGGGGTTAATATAATAAAAAAATATACCTTTCAACCTTCAACCGTTGGGCAGCGTAGTGCGGTGCCACCACCACGGTGGTCATTTAATAAGTTTTAACACAAACATCGCGGCACGCAACACGCGAGCTAGCACGTCGATCGACCGCAGTCGCTCGATTGCATGTACCGCATAAATCTTATACTCAAATTTTTGTTTTACGACAATAGTAAATATTATATGTTATTTGTAACTATTAGATTATGTATAAATAACAAATTTTTAAACCTCTGTCTTTCAACTTCCTAGCTATAAATATTACGCAATAAATTTATGTTACTAAAGAATTAGATAACACACTTTCGTACTTATAATGTTAGCCAGAAATACGTCATCAAAATTTAGCATTAATTTTATTATTTATATATTCTTATTATTATACTCTTAATATATACATATAATTCTTCTGTATGTGTGTTTGTTAACCTACTCCTCCTAAAGGTCTGGACTGACTGGTCTGAAATTTTGTGTGTATATTGCAATGGGCTTCTGGATGGTTTGAAAATACAATTGGACCCGGTAGGTGACGCTTCAGCCGGTGTGTCAAAGAGTTTACTTTTTTAGTAGTTTGAACGCGGGCGAACCCGCGGGTACTGCTAGTGTTATTATATATTCTGAGGGAGTATTAGCCAAATTATAACGCACTTCACGCTTGTTTGGAAAACCAAGTGACACGAGTTCAAACCCTGGGTCTCGCACCTCTAATATTTTCATGTGAGTTTTCAACGATAACTAGCCTGAATTACAATGAAGGAAAATAATGTGAGAAAACTTGCAAGTATGAGAGAATCTTACTAGTTTTCGGAAGACGTATGAAGTCTTCCATTCCTCACTTACAGCGTGGTCGACTATGGCCTGGTCGTTAAAAAAAGGGCTGGATTATTTATTATTTATATTTATATATGTTTTGTATACTGACTCCTCTACCCTAAGGTTGCCTGGAAGAGATCGCTTCTAGCGATAAGGTCGCCTGCTTTGCATCTCTTTTATATGTATGAATATTCCTCTTTCTGACGTATTTCTTATGTGTTGTGTCAATGTCAATAAACACACACACGATCATCCGCTGGGCTAATCCGAAGATCGCCTGAAATTTTTATCAATAAATAGCTATATGCGTTTTGGAGTCCATAGGCAACATATATATATATATATATATATATATATATGTTATATATATATATATATATATATATATATATAGATTTTATGAAAAGTTTAAATGCCAATCTAATCTAATAAATGTAAATAAAAATGAATGGATTTTTGTACGTTTGTACATAATACGTTCCTAAACCAATGTGATTATGATGAAACTTTTGTGAGTTGTCCTGCGGACACTCGCGAATGTTCCTGGCCTCAAGAAAAAGAAATTTTCTTTGTCTATTTGTTTTCTATGTATTTCTAAGCCATTGATCCTTAGGGGCGCACTACATAAATAATAACCCATATTAATATTATAAATGTAAAAGTGTGTTTGTTTGTCCTTCTTTCACGTCGAAACAGAGTGACGGATTGGCGTGATTTTTTGTGTGGATATAGTTGGAGGGCTGGGGAGTGATTTTTTATCGCGGGAAATAACGCTATAATACAACCCAAAAAATATTTATGATCAGAATTACTTGAAACTTGGTATTAATGCTCTTTAATACAATTAAATAAATACGTGTTTTATCATTTTTCATCATCGAAATTCATCCCATAAGAGGTAAAATAGGGCATGAAAGTTTGTGTGAGACTCAATTTTTTAGAGTTTTTTTGTAGTTTAGCGCGAGCGAAGCTGCGAGTCCTTCTAGTGTTATATAAAGAATAAATAAATATCTATGCACTATGCATATTTGCAACGATTTAAACTTCAAGATACAACAATTTACTCGTATTTAAAGCGTGCTCTTTGTATTATGAATAAACGTCGTGTCCTTTTGTATCTGGTTTTAACGGAAGTCATGGTATGTCAGAATGTCACTGTTAACCCATTTAGCGTTAAGGGCGGACGATTTCACATGTCACAGAAGTAACGAATACATTGTTTGTAATTGACATTAATATAATATATTGTTTAGATTATTTTGATTCGATTATTGTGATAATGAATGAGACTTTTAAACATTTTCATTTTTCTATAGACTTTTAGTTAAATATAACTCTTATATAACAATCAATATTTTTCTCCACTACACTCCACAAACTCCACTGTACAAGACAGTGTCAATTGTAAGACACAATATAGACTATGAGCTGTATTACTCGTAGGACTAATTTATATATTACACATATCGCGTGCCCTCAGACTACAGTTTTATTTTATCATAAAATTAAAAAATAATTTATCCAAAATTTTTACTTTTTGCTGTCACTCACATGTCCGTCTGTCCGTTGTCTGTCACACAGGTTTTACAGGCAAACGGTTGAAATTTTCACAGTATAAGCATCTTGTTGACACAAAACCATACAAATTGTAAAAAAATATTTTTAAAAAGGGGCTCCAATATAGCTAAAGGGAGGCGCAAAAAATTTTTTTAAAGATTTTTAAAAATACAGTATTTATCTAGTCGTTGAATAGATAAATACTGTATATTTATTACAGATAATAATGAAAGAATTTATTCACAACTCCAACCACGCCATTACGCGTCCCGTCTCCATTCATCAGTGACTTCAACACTCTTGCAGCTCCTCTAGACTTGCATAGAATAATCTATATATAAATAGGCAAAGACGAAACAATTCGGTACCTTTATCTGTTTGTCAACCAATTTTTTTTTCTTTTTGTTTAGTAGCTATTGACGAGTTTTAGTGTTATCAGTAAAATGCTTTTGAGAACGGTTTCTTATAAAAAAGATAAATTCTATTATTATAATATGTTTTCCAAAATTTTCATTAATAATTATGATTGAATTTCCACCACTGGGAATACTAGTATATATTATTTCTTGATTCATATCGATCATTAACATTGATAATAATCAATGAACCAGAGCCATTATTATACGAAACCTTTCATAAAATGAATATTGAAAGCACAAAACCAACAAAAAGCACATATGTATAATCAAAAATGAATTGTGAGTAACAGAATGTTACGTTGAAAATGAAATTCAGAAAACTGTGCAGTATTGTATAGCTTTTTAATGAGTTAGAATTTAGTCGTATTTCATATGATATATTCATGATTTTTTAAGATAACTGCTTGACCAAGTTCCGAATAAGTTCCGAATAATTTTAATATTAGTCATGGCCATACAATTTTCTCAGCCAGATAATTTAAAAACAATTTGGACCACCACTTAAAATCACCTCAAAATCAGTAAAAGTACTTTTAAAGGAATTACTAAATTTATTGTTGCTGATTTTTCAAATAACTTTAAAACATTTTGCCAGGTAAAATTGTTAGATAATAGTGAGTATCAAGTCATATTTTATAGCAGTAAAGCTGCTACCATAAAACAATGTTCATTTGAAAAGCTCTCAATGAGTTTGCACTTTTTATGTATAATTAATATCAGTAAAATGTTTAGTCACTGCCTGCCAACTGTTTCTCCTGTTACTAAATATTCTACCTATATTTTATTATAACATCTTTTATAAATTTTAATAGAAAAAGAAAATTATACCTAATTATTATTTATTATATATAATCTATATAGTGAAAATTAATTGCTGAGCAATTTGTTGGTAACAATTACGAGCAATAGATTTGTATGAATGCGCAACGCGTCGTTGCGAGCGTTGACGTAGTCGCGTAGCACGTCACGCGTAGACTTCGCGTAGGCGGTCTTTCTGCAATGCGCGGCTTATTTCAAGAATACAGCTTTTTAAATATGAAAATGTTAATTAAATTATTTTTTATTACTAATTTCTTACAATATAAGAATTGTACTGTACGTTGTTTTATTATAAGAAATTTGGATACTATTACCAAGTTTTATAATTTAATAATAATAAAATAAATTTCGTACATATATAGAGTAGTTGTAAATGTTATTTACGTACATTATGTAATTATTAAAAAATATAAAAAAATATATATCAAATAAATTAATTTTTAATGTTGCCGCTAAAAGAATCAATATTTACTTTTGAGCTATTTTTGTGACCTAGAAAGTAAGATCGCGTTACCGTACCGACCGCATTGTATTCGATCGAGTTAACTTTTTACTTTCACGAAACGTACGGTGAATCGATAGGCGGCCGTCGCGGTTGCAGCTTTACAATTATTGTGCCGCCTGTAGCGCGAATTTAGGGCAATGAGAGGCGGTGGCGGCAACCCGGGCAGTTTGCTTCGCGCCGTGCGCCGGCCGCCCGTGTTTCAGCCGGACCCCCCGCGAGGACCCCCCGAGGCACCCCCGCACCGCCGGCCATGCGCCGCGAGCGAGGCGCGCACCCCCTTGCCTGACACAGCACAAGCATACACTGTTGCGCGGCCTCCGCATTGATTCCACATGACTTCAGTGCCGTGAAGTGATAATGAGCGTGCGAAATGAGGACCCCAGTGAATATCCTGACCTACTTCAATATATATCGGTCACAACTTTTCACGTTATGCTGATAAATTAATCCGTTATTTTAAATGTTCGTGCGCAAATAAGGTATGTTTTACTTTATAGTTTCTTTCTTGTAGTAAACAAGAGTGAGTCAGTCAGTTGAGCCGGCTTACTTTTAAAAAAATATTTGCCATATAAAATTAATATTTAACTTTTTATTTCTATTTTGGTAATATAACACGATTTCAAATGAAATAAATTATAACTTAAATATATTTTGTAGTGGTAATTGTATAGTTCTACCAATATCAACATTTACTATAAGTTAATTGATAAGTATTATTTTCAATGGTATTATATAAAAGAGTCTGCTAAAAATTCCAATCATATTAGCATATTGAATATGTACTGTAATATTGCTGTCGGTAGATAAACCAATATTGTGCTAGTACAGAGGCAATATCCATTTCCACTTTTATTAGGAAAACACCACGCTGGTTACACTCAATAGCAAAGGTTATATTTATTTAAATGCAAATGCTCAATGTTTTGTATAAACGAATTATTTTTTATTACGTTAAAGTTTTTCACCCATCGAACGTCCAAGCTTCGTTACGAGGACAATTTATCTATACATATAATAAAATTGTAATTAAGCCGAATCTGTACATTAGATATTTTTTGGAAAATCTTATTGAAATAATTATTATTATCGATACAGAGGCCGAATCTATAGTTTTTAGAATTTTTGTCTGTCTGTCTGTTATCGCATCACAGAAAAACCACAGGAGGGATTTTGATGAAATTTGGTATGGTGATAGCTTGTTATTCGGGTCAACATATAGGATACTTTTTACCGCGGAAAAATATCTCATTTTTGAGAAAAAATACAAAAAGTGCAATGTAAGAGTATACTAATATGTAAAACCTAAGAATTTGATTTTTGGTCATCTGAACGCGGGCGGAGCCGCGGGCAATGCTAGTTTTAATAATAAAAGTCGCCTTATAATATGTCTTAACATCATTTTGAATATTTAACTTAATTATTATTTTTCTTAGTGAAACATAGCTAGTTCTCGTATTCTTTTGTTTAGCTCCATATGCCTCTAGCATACAAAAGAAGAGAACAATAGAATAGTCAAGTAAAACAATGAGATTATTTTAAGAATATTTTATACGAGTATGTTACACTACTTCTCTCGTGGCTGTGGTATTTAATTTCTTAATTACAAATTCGACTTTATCTACAGGCTAGTAAAAATATAAAGAAATGCTATAATGCAAATTAACTATTAAATTATACTTGAACTAGTGCCTTAGCCTTGCTTTGCTCGGGTGCATTTATGTGTGTATTTTGCGATCTGATATATATATATATATATATATATATATATATATTTATTTATTTATTTATATATGTATATTTATTTATTTTGGTAAATTTTATTGCTAACAATAAATAGCCTATGTGTTACTAAGGGACATAATGTGCACTAAATTTTTTAACAGTTTTCGTTTGGTTAATAGAGCAATAAATATACACACAAAAAACTTTCGTATTTATAATAATAATAAGATTGAAACATTAAATATTAAAGCCGATGATAAACTTTACAGAAAGATAAATACATAATCGTCGAATTATTCAAATAAACTATTGTACCAAAATAAAATTTTCTGAGAAGCAAAATTGCGAGCTCAAATTATTTAAATTTTTATTGAACATTATAATTCGGAAGAGCAAAAGATTCAAAACTAAATACAGTATTAGGACGAGCTGTTGGTACAGTTTAATATAAAGCAACATAAATCTTCATGCAACTTTTTTCTTAAAACTACATTTTTCATTCAATTCGATCCTTACCTTTGGCTTTTACGAGTGCCGGCTAAGGACATTTCACTTCGCCAATGTTACCTACAAATTCTTTAGCTTTCAGTTATTTTGTTCAAGTGCTTATACTGTCCTTTTCACACTGTCTTTTACTTATCCTTTGTTATAATAAATGTTTTATTCAGTTTTTTTGAGTTTTGACGACACGTTTGGTTCTACTTGCTGTGCCAGCGGTCGCGGGTTTAAGACCCGCTGGGGGTATTCATTTGGTGATAAACACGAATGTTTGTACTCCAGTTATGGGTGTTTATATTTTTAATATATATCTATTTAAAGTTATATATGTGTAGTGTATCACCTATCTGGTATCCATAACACAAGCCTCGTAGCTTATCATGGAACTTGATGGTGCCGTGTGTTAATATCCCAACATATTATTATTACAACATATTAGTTTTATACTTATTAAAATTTTATACAACATACAAACATTCAGTCAAAAGATAGGTAATAAAAAGATATAACTTCAGCTCCTTTCTAGTCCTTTTTTCTTAATAATTTAACTCTACAAATGTACAGTTATAAAGTTTGTTGGTCACACAGATAGATACGTAAATGAGGTTTAACAACCTTGTATAGTTTACACCCTCATTACTGCGAATAAATAATAAGTCTATTTATTCGTAGGCTCATTACAAGGAAATTTGATTATACCATACCCTGCGTATTTGCCGTTAACAAAATAATTATTCAAATTTTGAGATATTCGTTTATTTTCAGAATAATTTCAAGAATTATTTAGATAAAACATGTAGTTGACAAAACGAATTTGCGTAAAAGTTAAAACAAAAACCCAAATTAAAAAATATATATTGATTATGAATGAATAACTTCATCACGACCCTACCAACAGACGGAAAGAAAAACCAGTTAGTCCTGGGAAGAATTATAAAAAACATAGCAGGACTAAAATTACATTTTACCTTTTTTTTCGACAAAGTTATAAATTATAAACAATTCTTTAAAATTGGAATAGCCTCGAGGCGATTTCACCACTCCCAAAGAGCCTATATTATCTTCTGTAACTTCATTTATTGTCTAACAACCTTTAGGTAGTAAACAAACATTGTTTAACATTTCTTTTAGTAATGGAAGCTTTTTGAATGTTTTCTGGTATCCTATTATATAAACATATACTATGCCCATAAAATGAATTATTGACAATATGTCATGAGTTATAGACATTATAATTTTGGGTTTGTTTCTGGTACTAATGTGATGGTGGTATACATGTCACAATTATTGGGAAAATCATTAATATTTTACGAACAAACATAACGTTTTCATACATAAATTGAGAAGCTCTAAACACGATAAGATGTAGATTTATCCAAGATGTGGATTAGAAGTGGACAAGTTTTAAATTTCTTTCTTGAAAAAAATTCAGTTTAATGAATTTTAAGTAACTATTTTGTTTTATGTATTAAGAGTTTATAAGTAGCTTCCTGCAGCTCGTACGCGTGTGTTATTAGAACAGTTGTTTTCGAGAGATAGACTATTAAAGAGTCTTCTGGACCGAATTCAATTCAATTTATGAATTAAAAGGTGTTTCCATTGTTGATAAGTTTTATTATAGGTAGATATTTTTCTAATTTAATATACTATATATAAATATGTATGTCGGGTAAGATGCAGTCTATTTATTTATTTATTAGGAACGTCCTTATATACTAAGAATAGATTTATTAACTTAATATAGCTTTGTATAAAAATAGTGTCATAAAGTATATCACAATTACAGGGTGGGCTAACTTAGCATGCAAATAATAAATTGTTGAAATTAAACAAAAAAGATGGTTGCTCACTTATGATAAAAAAAACTGAATAATTCAATCACTTAAATAACAAAAACTTGAGTAAAAAAAATTTACAAAGTATAAAACTAAATTTTGACATTACGTAACATTAGCTATATACTATTATATATATAAATAAATTATACATATGTACAATTTGGATATAATACAGTAGCTCATGTAACTGTCAAAGAAAATTGAGTTGTTTACTTATTTAAATAGAAAAGATTTCTATTTCTGGGAATGCGCATATTCTATTTTATTACTTTCGTCTTATTAAATATTTTTTTTTAAATGATGATGTTCTCCTAGCCGATTCCGGCCACGGCGGCCAATCTCAATGAGATTAGCCAACTGCGCAGGAGATATTATAGTGCTCAAGTGTACGCGCAGACACAAGTGCACTCTCTATTCCTATCACTCTCATACTCCGGTGGGACGACCACTCGACACGACCGGTGAGAGTTAAGGCGCAGGACCGACAGCTTTACGTGCTCTCCGAGGCACGGGGGTGAAACACCGCCAACTTCCCAACTCCGGGCTGTTACTGAGACTTACTTTGCAGGAAAACTCAATAACTAAACTTGGCCCGACCCGGGACTCGAACCCAGGACCTCCGGGTGTGCAGCCGTACATGCTAGCCACTACACCACCGAGTTTTTTTAAATAATGTTTATATCAAATAATTTTTTTTAATTTGTGAAACGTAGAAGTAGTTTACATTTGTTATAAATTATTGGTTTGTTATTTGTTGTTAAATATATAATTATTCAAATGCATAATAATGTTATGTGGTAGCGGTTATATAATGAAATTGGTGAAGTCACTCTGTTTCACCTTCTATTTCCCTTCGCGGGAATTCAGACGAGACTTTCAGGATTCTTTCATTTTCCGTCTTATATTAGTATTGAGATATTAAACATTACAGAGTATTATTTGAAAAAAAAAAATAGAATATAAACAAAAGTTTAATATAAACTTATTTATTTAATTATTTTTTAATATAAATAAAAGATTAATATTAACTTATTTTTTTGAATTAACTAACTAAATAATAAACTGGTAGAATAACTCTTCGCTCGTTGATTTGATAGCTTTTTTAGACAATCACAAGATAATGGATCGTCATGATTTTTTGCTTAAGGATAGCGTAGACTATCCTTAATATTACATATATGGGAATATACGTAAATCGTAAACCAACATCTTGTCAATATTTACTTTATATGTTAAATAAGGTACTAAAAAGGTTATTTTTTGGC